CTGGGGTCTGCTGTGTGTTCAGTGTTAGTTTTTGTTTCCTCACCTTAGGGTTTGAGAATAAGAGGCTTAATGTTCTCTGGAGTAGCTGCTGCTGCAAGCAAATGACAGGCCACAAACAGCAAAGGTGACCTGTCCCTGTGTGCAGGTAATGCACTATTTAGCTCACAACCTGCATCAGCTTCTGCTCATGGCCGATTAAGAGTGCCTGCTCTGGTCACCGGCAGATGGGCCCCCCTCAGACATGGTGGCCACAAGCAGCCGTAGATAATCTAACTTGCTGTGGCTGAAAATAAAGTTCCTTATCAGGCAACTATTTTTCTGTGTCCTCCCCATCATACCAGTACTTACTGTATTCTCCAGATAGAGCCATTTGTATCAATGCCAGATCAGATCTTTTTCATCTATGTAAATGAAAAGATGTTGAAGTCCTTCTGCATTTTTTATCTCATATGTTGATGGGAGTTGATCCTACTACGTGACAGGAAAGCTCCATATAGAAGAAGTCTGGGCCCCTTTTGAATCCTATGTCTGCTCTCTTGTCTTGTGCTCTTAGCACAGGAGACAGTTCTGCCTCCTGAAAAGCAAATTTTCCATCGGCAACCTGCAGGGAGTAATGCCACAGTTACCAAGATAGAAGTTTTCAGTCACTTGACAGTGTTTGGAGAACAGTAGTACATATATCACTAACAATAATTTACTAGCCTGTTGCTTGCCAGATGCTTCTACAGGTTCCCATGGGTCAAGACAAGGAATTGTAGTCATTAGAAAAATTTCCCAGTGGTTTAAATCTTGTAGTCAGGTATAGGTTATTCAGTAACATGAAGGGTAACATTAGTTCTTTATCCATAATGTCCTGCACCCTCAGTAACCTATCCATTGCATATCTACCCACTTACAGCACATTTTTTCCTCTTTTGAGGTTGCTTAGCCTTCCTTTCTCACCAGACCAAGAGTACAGTTAGGACAAGCACAATGGAAATATTTGGGGTGGGAGGGGAGACAAAATGGTGCCATTTTATCATGTTTGTGAAGAAGTTACAATATCGGGAGGAAAAAAATACCACAATCTGAGCTCAGTCAGATTTAAAAAATATTTTTAGATTTTATAGAGTAATATAGATAACATTTGGGAGAGAACCATCTTGAAATAAGATTTTTTTTAAATTACTATTTGCTCTGAATTAATTTCTTGGTTTTTTGGTGACTAAGATCCAGTCAGATTCAGCACTCCTGTTTTAGGCAATGTTCAAATAGTGAGGTGAGGGTGTGGGGAAAGTCCATGCCCCTACCAGTTCCCAATGTTAAGTTTAAAACCAATGAGAGAGCATAACCAAAAAGAGGAAGTAAGCTAACATAGGTAAAAATATTAAGATTATAGATTATATAAACTTTTCCTCTGCACAGCTGGGCATTTCTGAATCATTTGGAAGTTTTTTCTGGTATGTATTATATATAAATAAACTATCCTCGTCTGCCCTTCAACATAGCCATCTGTCCTCTTTGCTCTCCTCTTTCATCAGACTAGTTTCATATTAAGAACTATGAACAAAGAAAAGTAAAGGAGCTGATTCATGAACACTTATGAAACCTGATGCTGATCGCTGGCAAGCAGCATGGTAGGATGATTGGTAACAGCATAAATTTATTGTATCACTGAACAGTACTTCAGAAAGCTCCTTCTTTCAAAAGCAAATCTGTCAAAGAATGTCATTGTCTTAAAAAACAAGGGAGGATGTTTTACGGAGTTGTTTTGGCAGGGTGGGATGCAGCCTCCTCTATATGAGCATGAGGTTTACGGGTGAGACTTACCTCCCTAGTCTTCCTATGTCTCCCGTGCAGAGGTCTGCACCTGCACTCGCTCTGTGGACACCTAACTTGCCAAAGGGAGGGTCACCGGCACATCTAGCCTGACCTTTTAAAAATATCCACAGGAGGATATCCATCCAGTGCCACTTTCTCTGCGCTGTGAAGCATTTTTAAACAGCAAGCTACATGTAGATGTCTGCACTGGCGTTGGGCAAGATTAATCCCACCCTTGGGGTATATCAGCACTGAGTTGCAGCATGGTGAGTGCTTGGTTGCTTCCCACCCTCTCTGCAGGAGCTGCCGCACTGCAGTGGCCATGCTATCAGCAGAAAGGGCTGAGCTTCAGGTGCTTGTGGGTACTTTGGGTTTTGGTGTGACTGACTTGGCCAGACCACACAGAGAGGAACTTGTATCCATGCTGAGGTGTTGAATATGCATACATGCATGCATGCAGTCTTTCTCTCTGGGGAATTCTGGCATTTAGGCTGAAATGGTTTCTTAGCAGAGACTTAGGGCCAGTGCTTAGCAGGCTGACCTTGCTGTCTTCAGTGAACTTGACTCAAGCTCTGACAGGTGGCTCTCGGTCAAATTTGGCTCCAGTTATGTAAGTGGGAAAGCTTATGTTGATTTAAATGGCAGCAGGTTTTTCCCTGTTAGGGCTCTTCGAGAATCTAATTTAGCAAAATATTTAAGCTTATGCATAAGTCTGTCCCTTTTATGCAAAGCCATTCAAGTATGTGCAAAAGGCTTGCTAAAACCAGGGAAATGAAGCATTATTTGAAATGCTTTTCTGACAAAGAGGGGTTCCTGATTCGAGGCATTTAGCAATCCAAGCATTGTAATAAAAAACCCACCATATGAGAAGGTAGCAATAAAAGGAGGTAATATAGACTCGTTCGGACATATTTACACAGGCTATAATATTGCGTGTTGTTATTGTAGTTCTTTTGCAATATAAGCTAGCAGTTAGCAATTAAATTCCCATTAGGGGATCATGTTGGTAATTGAGATAAACTGTAAGTATGTAACTGTTTTAAACCTTTCTTTTAACTAACCCAAATACTGTAGTACTTATATAATTTAGAGATAATATCCCCATTAGTAGAGTTTATGACTCAATAAACAGCTCCCACAAGTTAATAAAAACCAAAACCGTAAACACCAAGACTATTAATGCAATAGAATTTCTGTGCCTCCCTCTTTTCTTGGTGGTCTAGATAGAGCAAAGGGAAATGCTATCTCAGGAAAAACATTTATTCTGGCTATATAAATATAAATGAATTGTCTTAAAACCCATCTGGAAATTTCCTATCCTCCCCATGTGCCAGGTGGTCTGGCAACAGGGATGCATTTTGCTTTTGTCTGCAGGCAAGAGAAAAAGCTTCCATTTGAAAAAATTTGCATGAAAGGATTGCATGTAAAAGGGCTAATGGTATCCTCACCCCACCTCTCCCTTCTAGAGAAATGGGAACCAAATCTCCTCTAGAGTTAGGATTCAGTGTACTTTTCTATGATTATTATTATTATTATTTAAAGGACAAGTATCATCAAAGCACCTGGACTTCACAGTTCTTGAAGCCTTTTACTGCTGGCATTTTTTTCCAGTTTGATAACTAAATGAATTCTAGGGAAGAGGAGCTTTTGTGTGCCTGCAGGTTAATACAAGCAGAGCTTTTGTAGCTCAAGTCTCTCTTCATTTGGAGCTGAGGGAAGTGATTAATTAGGCCATTTGAAACAAAAATCAACCTTTTCCTTTGTATAAAATAGCAAATGCATTGAACTTTATTTTGCAGTGTAGTAGGGCACCAATCTGTTGCACACTGAATCATCTCACTTGACTTATTTTTCTTGTCCCCTTTTTTTCTGCTGAAGGACATTTCTTCCTGAGTTCAATATGCAAACAATGCATATTGTTTGAATTAGTCAAAATGCATAAAGATTTTGTCCTCTCTAGCTGGCCATGTTCAAACTGGTATGAAAAGCTAGGAGCGTGCTATAGAGCAACTGCCCTCTCCTTCCCTTTCCCAGTAAGTAACTCCACTAAAGATGAAATGTTTCATTGTTGCATCATGTCTTCTGTTTTTGCCGCTTTTGTGTGAGAGTTTGTTTTGCAGCGTAGGCATCTCAAGTGGCTGTTGAGATTCATGTCTCACCTTTTCACGGCTGTGTTCATGACCTTTACGCCTAGGAGGTAGTTTGGCCTTTAGGACCCCAGGAAAGCTCATTTTCACAAGACAGACTCTTAGATGTTTTATTCTGTGGAAGTGTGATGAGTAGTGAGCAAATACAGTCTCTGTTGGGCTTCATACTGTTTGCATTTGACTAGCCTTCCCCATTTATTCTGAAGTTTTAAGTTTCAATAACAATTGTATCAAACAGGGAGGCACTCCCTCTAGGTTCTTGCCTGTGCATTTCAGTTCTCCCCTCGTTTAACACTCAGTAATGTTTTGTGGCCTCTCAGCGGTGCAGAAATGTCCCATTTGATTCCCTGTAGGCAAGAACATTATTAAGACAAACCAATACCTGAAGCAAATCAAATATTCTGCTTAGGAAGACTCACCATCTTAATGAAGCACAATTCCTTGTAAGAGGCAGAGTCTTGAAGGACCTGAAACAGCACGGCTGAGTCAAGACAGTTTTACTATTGATTTCTGTGGGAACAGAGTTTGTTTTTACTTTATGGGAAAGGGGAATTGTTTTGCTGCTTCCCTACCATTGCACACAAAATCAACTCTTTTCCACATGCCTCAGCCACAGCAAATAGATCCTAAAACTGGATCAGATCCTGGCAGCTCAAAATGGAGTTGTGCAGGTTTGTAGGGGTGTTGTACTTCTT